TTCCACCTGAGCTGGAAACCAACACTGAGTCAGTACACAGGAAATGTTTGAGCAAACTCTACATCCTGAGGAAGCTCGGATCCTTAAGTGTATGTAACAAGATGCTAGAGGGAACGGATTGATAAAAGATCTCCAGCATCATCTTTTTATCCAGAGACACCAAAATAGTGGACACGATCATCAGGGGGGCTGGTTCTGTGATTGGTTCCAGACTTTAGACCCTTATATAAACAGGGTTTTGGGTTATATTCTTATACTTTATATTTATATTTATCTAAATATAATATATACATATATTTATATATATTTATAGCTATAGTTTCCCAATTCTGGGATTTATAAAGTACACTTCATCATGTCTTTTCTGACTTGCCTTCATTGTCTGTGCTTACCTGGATAATAACCATTCTGCATAATTGATTCAAATCAGGAGAAATTGGACAAAACATAATTCAGCATTAATTTTTCCTCCTTCGAAACCGCCTGCGTGAGGTTAGGGTGAATCATTATTTACTGACCTGCTTGCCAAATCTCTCTGCACAAAACACCCGACGCAAGTGAAAATCCGTGTTTGTAGACAAATTCGGCTCAACTTACCTTCAAGGTTAGCCTCTGTTTGTGAGTCTTTACCTTAGTAAATCACAACAGAGGAGCATCACCCCAAAGGGCACCTTTCCTTGATTTGTGAAGTTGTTTGAATGTCCATATTTTTATAACAAAGATAAATGTGTGTGTACAAATCACATATTCAAGTTTATGCCAAATGAATGCACCCACATGGATGAACCACCAATTGTGGAGTGGCAGATCAGATATTTTTCAGCTAACTGGAGTTTATGGTGGTGCTCAGCTGCTTATGATCACTCCCAAACAAGTTAAAGGTCTTTTGTAAACACATCCAGTGCAATGACCATGCCCAAATCTACGGAGTTCCTCACTTTTAAATCACCTGAGATGTTTTCTAAATGAAAGTGATGTTAGTTCACACACAGGGAAGTTGCCTCTATACCCAAACCTTCACAAACAATGAACATGCTGAGTAGACACGATAGTGGAATATAAAGATTGTAAAGACTCATGAAGTTGGACTTTATTTTGCCTTGCCATCTCATGGAAATAGTACAATGTTATTCTCAAGGCCCTTACTGCTCTCCTGGCATACTTGCCTTATGTTTCAACTACTGTAGTTTCAACTGTTTTATTTATTGATACCTTGTCCTGCATCAGAATAGAGATATGATCTGTAAACAGTTAAAAATTCTTAATCCAGTCATTATACTGAGATAAGACGTGATCTTACTTATCAGTTCTGTTAACTCTTAGCTGGTTAGCATGCTAACTTGTGTGGATACAGAGTCTACAACACAAACAATGCAATTAAGTCTGGCTTAGAGAGAATTAAATTGTCCTATTTTAATATACATTTGGATGTGCTAGCTGTTTGATCATTATGAAAGTCTGAAATTTACTTGGATATATTTTAAATCTTGCATACTTTGGTAAACAATATCAAAGATTTGTGGTCCTTGTTTGAAACGGACCAAATTTTTATTCCAATGGGACAAGTTCATGTTCACATCTCCAACTGGAATTAATGTATGGAGGAACAACTTATGCCTCCCAAAATTCAAAGGCAGAAAGGGGTAACTAAACCTGAGGGGAACTAACAGTATCTACATAAGATAGCATATTTTGTACACTAAAGATAAAGGGGAAAATCCTAAACATACAGTATAAGTTGAAATGAGGTTGTATGTGTGTCTAAAACAAATGCTATTACTTTAACATTAGCAATTCATCCTCTGGTTAAATTCTAATCGTTTTAAAATTGCTGGCACCATGTTCACAGTTTTAAACATTTATAATGTTTTGGCCTCATCAATCACTTAAAGTTTTAAAAGGAGGTGAATGTGACCACGTTTTAAAAATTAAAATACCTTTGAGTCTGGACATATTAAAACTAGGAAGCTTTGTGATGACAAATTGAAGCCTTTCTGACAATGATAGTGAAAATCCAGTTGAAGGCTAAACATTTTGTTTTTCAGTTTATGAACATGATCGGCGATGTATGAAACCAAACACCCTCCAAGTATAACACTCTTAAGCATCAATATTTCCCATTAGATATGAAACAACTCACATATTTTGCAAGTTCTCCCAACATGTAATTCCAACATGAAATTTTTGTCACATTTGGGCAGTATAATGAACTTTACTGACAAATGAAAAAACAGAAAAATATTAATGCCTGCAGTTTTCAGAAAAATAAAAAAAATTCTCATGGATTTAATTCATGTGCCACACCATATATGTAGCATAAAAAGAACAACCTTAATATTGTGCAAGGATGTGCATAGAATGTATTGTTATTTTTTGGTTTGGCACTATATATAAGAAGAACAAGCTCATTTTTAGAATATCATTGGATACGCATTTATTATAGATACAATAGTCTTTGTCATTTCGAATGCAAAGACAGAGACAGAAGGCCTGCAGCAATGTGAGTTATGGTCTGCTGCTTCCTTGCTAAAGCAGTTGCTATCCGTTAGTGATTTTTGTTATTTATCTGAGGAATATGTCTGAGGTTGAAACACCAATTAAAGATTGTAGATCTCAAAATCAGTTTATTGCGAAAGCACTTTTTAGTATCTTTTTCCCAGAGTCTTACTGATGTATTGTGAGAAGCTGCAGGATAGTGTTTGCGGAATGTTGCTATATGCAGATCAGATTCTGTCATGCAAAAGTCACGATAGTTTTGCAAAAATCTAAAGTAAAACTTTCCCTGGTGCTGCTCCTGTCTCAGTATTCTGTAAACAACTTTGTCCTGCTCATTAGCAGGTATTGATTTAGGTGCACAACTCACAGGCCTCCTTGTTCTTTCATTGGTTAGAACGGATTTTGTGAGAAAAACTAAAGTAATGACCAAAGTCTTGTAATATAAGTATACCATGTAGATACTTGATTTGATAGATAATTGTAATTAAATCTGTCACTACTGCCTTCTTCTATAGGTTGTTGACCATCACAATATCCAGATGGTTAGCAATCCTCTTCATCCTCACCCTCCCTGGGTTTCAGCAAGTGGGTAGAGTAAATATTGTCCATGTGTATTTTTGTTTCATTGGTCTAATTGCAATTGGTTTCTTTCTCCCAATACTGATTACCTGAGATATTATCACCAGACAAATATTGTCCAGAAGCTCTACAGCGTTAGCCATGTAACTTCAACAAGATGAAATTTGACCCTGAACAAGTTTACTTTTGGTCCAGTGTGAATTGTTTAGTTTCCCTCAGCAGCCAATTAAGCAGGCCGTGTACCGAGAAGCAACTCGCCCAAAATAGAAATGCTGCATGGCACCACATGCAAATTTCCACTGACAATGTGCATCTCCAAAGACTTTGAATAGGTATTTATGGTATGTTAGTACACAGCAAATATTAAAGTGGTTGATGTAAATCCTGTGACCAAAGTTTAACAATAAAAAGTTTAAAAACATAGATTGTGGAGATTCACTTTAGAGATTATTGACAGAAAAATGAAAAGCTTTGTTTCCTTGTCTAAACATGCTGCCTTTCGGGTACCGGAAAAAAACCTGGGTGTCTAATTTGGAAGAGTGTAAATATTTCTGTAGCTGCGTTTCTTCCATTTTGTCAATATGACTAACATTTCCACTCAGAGAACTCTGTCAAAGGGCAGCGCTCAAGTTAAATTCCCATTTAGCAGTTAGCGATTTCCCTTTGTTCCACTGGCTGTGAATCAAAAGTCAACGTTAGAGTCGTATTCAAAACTTAAATTGAGGAGAATAGTGACTGTGAGGCTGCCATTATGCAAAAAAGGGATTACAGAGGTGATAGAATTAATCAATCTGGTTGCCAAGCACATTGCTGTGGTTGAAAATAATTGGCTTTTCATGGTCTTTTGGAGACTATTTCCTAAAAAATACATCGTACGACGCCTCCTGAGTTTTAACAGGAAGTTTGCTGCCAAACACAAAAAAACAGAAGGATCTGTTGTGAATGGTTATAGCTTTACAGTCTTAGATCTAATGTCCGGTAGGATTACTTTTCTTAACTTTGATATTATTCTTGTGAGAGATTGCATGCAGGCAAACTTAATATGAGATTCAGAAATATAGAAACATCATACACAGAAACAGAGAAAGCAGTTTGTTTCAAAGAAAGAGTCACACGAGTTGGATACATTTGAAAATGACTGATCCAGAGATTTTTTATTTCAGAAGTAGCTGTGTCAATACACCAAAAAGCCATATTGACAGATTTTTTAAATTAAATAGTATTTTCTGTTAATTATCATCGGTTATTGTTGATTCTGAGATTTAATTATGAAAATGATAGATTATGTATTATAGAAAAATGCACAGTGGCTGTTTATTATATCACAGTTGCTTCAACAATTAGAAATGACACAAATGGGAATATAAATAACTGATAACCTTTAGGGAGCACCAATCACCTTCTGAAGATTACCTCTTCCCTGATGAGGGAAATGATGCTCACTAAAGCACAACAAAGCGTTAAAAACAGTAAGAATTACCTGTGTTTAATGCCACTGATGAGGTTTTCTTGTTAGAATTGCTGAATCAACGAAGATGAATCAAAGCAAATCAACCTGGGACAGGTAAAACTGAAGATTTGTTGTATGTCCAAAAACTCATTATCAGTGACAGTGACCACTTTAACCCTTTAAAGCCTGATCCAAGAATAAAACAAAACAGAAAATTACTTTTTTTTGGTTTGAAGTCTTTATTTGGCCTTTTAACAAAATATTTACTGTAAAAAGAAAAAACAGAAATATATTTTTAATATTAATAATTTATTACTATGCGATAAGTCAAGATGATTTTTTGTGTAGTCTTCTGCCCCCTGTTAACAGGTGTATCTGATTGTGTACAATAGGATTTTGAACAAAGTTTTTACCATTAAATTATGCAAAAGGAGTCAGACGCAAAACATTTCAGAAACCGTAGGAATCAAATATGATACGTTTGGCATTACAGGGTTAATTCCCATCCACAAAAATGCCACTGTATTAGAAATCACATCCACCGGTGTGCCATACAAAATACAATCACATAGAAAGTCATGGATATTAAAAAAAAACTCAAACTGAATAACACAAAACAATGCATTTATGGGTCAAATATTGCAGCAATGCTGTGCGTTTAAAACCTAAAAACAGGTCACACCTGATCCTTACCCAGGAGGAAGGTAAAAGTGAACGTTGTGTATAAATGTGATCTGGGGTCTGTCATAGTTGACTCCCGCACCACCGATGAAGACATAACATCAACAGCGAACCGCTGTTTGTCACGTTTTCTGCACACGTAAGCGAATTCCAACAGTCATGTCCACCTAATTGGGGGACGCGGATCGGTTTTTCAGTTTAATAAGCGTCGTAAAACTGCAGTGTCAGTGGTCACAGAGATGGGCTCATACGGCTTCAGCATGGGCCGTTTTGAAGTCGTGGAGGAAATTACAGATGACGCCAAACAGCTCCTGAGAGTCCTGATCTGCCGGTTCCCCAAACTTAATCTATACATTAAAAAAGCAGAATAATTAGCGGGTTGAATATTTGTTGTGACAACAATGATGCTTCATGAGAACTCTGAGCTCGCAACGATTCTGAAATTAATAGCTGTATTTAATTTCGCAGGCAGGCCGGTGTCTGGGGCGTGCTTATTTTTGAAAAGTTTTGATGTAATTACCTCATACGTTGCCGCAGCATGCTCTCATGTTCTTAAGTGCTCTCCTACAACGTGTTGGACATGCACCTTTATGATTAATACTTACACCTCGGTGGTTAAGGGTCTCTGGCATAGGAACTGTAGTAATTCTCAAGTCAAACTATATCAGTAAAGGTCACGGTATCAAAGCCCGCTAATTGGCCAACCGCATGCTGTTAACTTTGGGTTAAAGTTCACACTCAAGTTGTTCTCTCTCAATCTCCAGTTTTATGAATGTAAAAATGACAGATGTTCCCCAAAGCAGTTCATTTGATTATGTCAAACTTTTCACTCTAGAATCATATATCTTCAAAGGCAAAGGAGTGTTTGGTCAAAAAATAAGCTCTAAAAATTCCATTGCACAGATATATTTCCAAAAAAAGTAGCTGAGAAAACTTTTTTTTGTTTTGTTTTTTTATGAAATAGCTATAACAGCAGCAATTTACAAAAATACTTCAGAACTCAGAAGAAATATAGGGAGGGATAGTGTTTCCATTTCAGTGTAGATAAGGGAGATAATGAGATTGTTTTTTATCCAATGTGTACCACAGCGTGGTGGTAAACTCTAAACTTCAAGATAAGAAATAAAGGGAACGTTGTGATTACAATGAATTCAGCTCATTTCATAGTTTCATTTAATCGGATGTGGAAAATAGATCACCTGAGTGTTGATAAAATACTTTATTACAGAGTTAGAGATTAATTAAGTAGATTGATTTATGATGTGACCCCAGCAATAACTGCAAATATAACATATAATATTATATTGCATATTACATTGCAATATATAATATAATGTAACTTCTTCTGAAGAATTTCCACTCGTTGCTCAGTCAGGATTTTGCACAATGTCAAGATATTGATACTTATTTTAAAACTTTTCATTTCTTTACATTTACTTCTTTAATCCTTCAAAAGGCAGCATATGTGTTTGATGTTGTCTTGCTGCATTATATTAAGCAAAAAACAAAAGATATCAATTTTTCTACAAACATTTATTGGGAAAACAGGTAGAGCTGCTGTCACCAAGATAAAGTGTAGCAGGCTTAAACTATGCTTAACAGATGGAAAAATATGCTGAAACCAGAATATTCTTTTAAAATTCTGAAATCTTCTTTTATCCCGACTCATGCTTGTCATTTGAATCAAATTTCTATCACCATCTTTTCTGTCAAAGCTTTTTTTTTTCACAGCCCCTTGGTTTGTTCATACAATTTTATTTCTGATACAGCAATGCTCTTTTCAAGTAGCAGAGGTTTTGTCCTTGCAGTCCAGCCACTATAAATCAGGGCTGTGTTTCCATGTTGTCTCATCAACAACATTTTGAAGAGGTTGAGTGAAGAGGTTCTTATCACTTGAGGGGATTTTCTTGCTTTTTTAATAGAGCTAAAAGGGATTCAGAAACTGAATGCAAATCAGTTCTTACACGATAAACATTTAAGAATAGCGACTGCTTGGGAAAGCGTCTGCTTCTGCGTCTAGAGTCTAGACTGATAACTAGATAAGAAACGTCTAACATGAAAGAACAATCCTAACTTCATATTTTTATGTAACTTTTTATTTTTCTTTAGTTTCTTGTTAGACTGATTTATACCCTCATTAATGGTCTGTACAAAGTCATATGACGATACTGGCTTCATATAGGCACACACATTGTAAACCACCACACACCACCTGTCTAATAGTGTGTTTTAGACATTCTATCCAGGCCCCACAGTGCTGAGACAGCTCTGATCAAGGTGACAAACCATATGAACACAAAAAGCAGGCAAAGTTTTAATTCTGCTGGACCTGATCGCTGCCTTTGTCACGGTTTGACCAACATTATTGCAGGTTAAAAGACTGGGTGGGAATCTCTGGCACTGCTTTAAACTGGTTGAAGTCCTACCTCAGGGACAGGTGTTACTTTTTTTAAATTAGGAACTGTGTTTCAGGCCGAAAGGGTCTGACCTGTGGGGTCCCCCAGGTGTCAGTCCTGGGACCCCTTTTGTTCAAACTGTAAATACTTCCATTTGGCCGGCTAATATTTAGTTAAAATGTGTCACAACTATACAGATAACACTCGATCTACGTGTCGCTGACAGCTGGAGAACATGAAACTGGAAATGAATCGGGTCACTGTATTGCAGATCGGTGTGTTGATGCAGAACTATGTCCATGAAATTACCATTAAAATTGTCTGTGGCCCACAGAAACAAAGAGAATGTGTCATCATCAGACTCTATCTTCTATCTCCACGCCTTGCTAATCATGTTAGAAATTTGGGGGTAATATTGTACTTAGACCTAAACTTTAAAAGCCACATTACATCAATAACATCAGCAGCCCTTTACCATCTGAATGACTGAATGTAATGACTTTGACTCTACTTTGACAACATGATTAAGTAATTTGACTGTCTTATCTATACACAATGACAAAATAACTTGTCATTTTGATGGTACTGACAATTTCATTGTCACAGGTCTTAACCTTTGAGAGATGACCTAAGGACTATGGGCAAGAGAATAGTTTTTACAAGTAATCCATGTTATTTGGTTATTCATACCAATTATTTTCAGATGGTTTCACTTGCATACCACGCAAGATTAGGGATGCTGTTAAGAAACAACACACATCCTCATAATCCACTACATTTGGTCATAGTGTGGAGAATTAAGGAAGGCCTGATGGCATTGTGGCCTGGAATTCAAAAGGGATTGAAAATAGCCTGAAAAGAAAGCTGCAAAGGAAAGTCCCATCTGAAATTAGTAAGGCATAGTTGGAAAAAAATCATTCAAATATAACTATCAAATAGCTCAAAAGTTCCAGTGGCCAAACTTTGATCAAACATGCAGGAATGATGCTACATTTGGTTAGAGCTGCCTGGTGATTAAAATGTAATTCTTTGCCTAAAGGTATCATTATAGTTAAAGGTCAGATTTCAAAATGCCACCACCAGTACGCCATTGCAGTTTGTGATATTGTAGAAAGAGATTAATGTTAAAATTAAGGAATAATATTGGAATATCTAAGAGTAAGAAGATGTCACGGCAAGCTAGGATTAATCTTGTATGGATGCTTCAACATTTCTAAAACAATGAATACACAATAATAGAGCAATCATTCTCCTGTTAATATCTGCACAACAAATGAACAGCTAAAGCCTTCAACTCACACTTCAGCCAGCGGCAGGTAACAGATATGATTTCCCCTCATTCAAATTTAACACTTCTTTTTGCACCTTTGAGGAAGCTGCTCAACAACATTGTTTTTTTCACTGATCCTGTTTCCCTGTCAAATGTTGTTGTTGTCCTGCTAACTTCTCCAACAAAAAAAATGTGATTTCCACCATGAAATGAGATATTTGCAACAGTCAGTGGTTTCTGAGCTTCAATTTGAGATTACATTCACTGAAAAATGTCATTGAACCTGAATGCTACCTGTGAACTGGTCAATAAGTCCAAAAGTCTATAGGGGCTGGTGGGTATCTCAGGTTTTATTCACAATGAACAACCAAAATGGAATGTATTGTACAAGTGTGTGGTTTTTTTTTGTTTTTTTTTGTTTTACTGTTGATGTAACAAAACACAGCTAATCCAAACCCGGTAGTGAATACATATTGAGTACACACAGGCAAAGAACCAAAGCTGCAGCTCAGTTTTGGCGTATCTTGCCAGACACTACTGGAATACAAGTAAAACTGTTGTCTGACAAATAGAATGTTATAAAAAAATTACCTGCTTCCAGCCTTTGTGTTAAGCTAAGCTCACAACTATCATGAAATATGAATATGTTCCAGTTTTATAAACTATTTCCTTAGCTTGTGAATGCTGGACATTTAAATGTTAATGCCACTAAACGATCAGTCAGTCGTACTAGTAAAGATGAAAATAAAAAAGTGTGAGTGGGATGTTGAAGGTCCACATTAAATTACTCATGTGTGCGTTCTGGAGAGTGCAAAAGTATAGCGTTGTGCGAAATAACAACACAATTCTCACCACCGTATCTCAGCAATCAAATACAGCAGGAGGGATGAGTGTGCTCTCAAAGGTGATGGATTGTTCAAAGACGGATGAGAAAGCTGAAGAAATGGGTCATACTTTTGTATTGATTGTTGTTGGGTAGAAACTCTATTAAAACATGACATAGCACCTTGTAAAATGTCATGGGTGGGCTTGAGCTCTGTACACCTAATCTAACCAGGTTAGTGAGCAAAATAAACGTTCTCCTTAATGGACAATGTGATGAAAGATTATAGGGCCAGTCCTTCCACTAAACCTAATATATGTGACAAAGGATTTTTCTTTATAGGGGATTTCATGTCCAGACGAATGCTTAAAGGCCAGTGTGGTTCTCAGACAAACACATAAAATATTTCCAGAAGCCCAGACCACAAAAGACTCTACTTAAATAATAAACACTCACGTGTAACGTAATACATTATAACCTTGTGCAGGGATTTTTAAAATGAGACATTGATAAATGAAATACAAATGCAACATTCTTGTTTTTAAGCCAATGAGAAACACCTCATCAGAAAAGCCAAATTTAGAGGTGTATTCATGTAAATGACATCACACATTATGAGTCATATGAAACCGGTCTCTTTTCCTCTCCTTTTCATTATTTCACAGACAACTGTTCTCTAATCCTGATGATTACTGAACAAAAGGAGGGAAAATACGATATTTCAGAGCTTCAACCCCCTAAGGACACCTGCTGCAGAAGAAGTAACCTTTTCCCTTGAAATAAGTGTGCTTTTGCAGGAGAGGGGGGGGGCTACCAGAACATGGGAAGTGGATCATTCCTTAGAGGTCTTTTTTTTTTTTTTTTTTAAAAAGGGAAATTGAAATAATAAGTCATGGATTACCAGTATGGAAGAATAGAGTTTTTTCATCTCCTCGCATGTCTTCGTAAGTGAAGCTAGATCAAGGTTGTACTTCTCAATTGCTGTCTGGGAAACACAGAAAAAAATAACAGTAAACAGTGAGGTCATTCTCCTCTCATAAAGTCATTATTGTTAAACTGATCGACAAAGAGGAGGGTCAGATGCATTATACTGCATATATGACTATAGAAGGGCAAAAACTGCATAAAGGATTTTGAGCATGTTTATAAAGAAAAATGAAATAAATGCATGGTTCTTTCTTTATCAATGTTAACTTTTGTTAAACAAAAAAAAAACGTATCTACAACCCAGGTGAAAATTAGACAGATATTTTAATATTGCATTATATCAACATTAGAACACATAAATGGAAAAATCTGAGGTGAACATATTGTCATCGCCTATTTCTTCTGTATAAATACAAGTTTATGAAAAGTAAATGTTATACACTTGTTTGTGCGTGCGTATGCCTGCGTGTGTAGGTGTTTGCACACACAGCATCTGAACTCTTAATATCTGTAGATTTCTGTCAAGGTGAAAATGTTCATAAATCTGCACAAAAAATAAATAATTTGTAGTCATTATAAGATAATATGCACTTTTTTTTCCACATTCAAGGGAAACCAGTGCTTAATTCTTTAGAATTTGATCACGGAAAATTACAGCTGAGGATTTACTAAAACTTTACAGCACATTTCAGATAATAAGCAATCATTGTATCTGGCTTTTCAGCTGAAGGCTTTGTACAACCAAAGCAGGAAGAAACAACCTCCGTTTAAAAATTCTGAGTTGCTCTCATGCAGTATGCATTTTGAAGCATTCCAATTCAGCGAGGGAAGACATAATGGGATGGAATAAAAATGAACACATACAGCCACAGTCCCTTTTTTATACCCCTGCTTTTCAGAATCCTGATGAAAATTCAAAATGTTGAGGGAAAGGGATAAAATGCCCCCCCTTTGTTTACTTGAGTGAAGGGAAAGGGGCAGTAGCTGGGAGAAGAATGATAAATCCTGAGCTTCATTAGAAGGCTCATTTAAAGCATCGGTCTGCTGACCAGGGATGCATCATTCTGCTTGTTTTTCTGACTTCTGACATTTGACAGGCCTGTTTACAGCCAATTGGAGCAACCAGAAACACTGTTTTTTTATATCTGCAGGCATTACCATATTACCAAAAACGGCCCCTTCTCACAGAAAGACAGCTAATTTAATATTATTATTCAATTTATGTTCACAATTGTATGTGTTTTGATGCTCTCTTGTATTTAGTAGTCTGACCTATAAATGTAAGACGAAAAATATATTGTTTTGCCATATGTTATTCGACTGACTTTGAAAAGACTTTCTGGGTCTGGCACCTTTACTTTAAAACCCAAAAACTATTGGATCCAGTCCTGAACATTTACAAAAAACACATCTTATTTCCAATTGTGAAGATCACAACAGATTTCCCATTTATTTCATCTATATTTAATTTAATTTATTCTACCTTGAGATTAGTTGAGAGCTCCCTTCCTCATCCTTCTTGCAGTACTTTTCATTTTAAAGTGAATTTTAAATCAGTACCCAGGTTACCTGAAGTAGTCAGTTTTATAAGTTTTATCTTGTGACTATGTAGGTTTTAGAAGTGTTAATGGATACATGCTAATATTAGTTAGCCTTTAACATTTACAAGATTCAAGGTTTGCAGATTGCACTGTGGTGCTGAAAATCTTGCTTCTGCAGTTTGAAGTTTGTAAAAGATGAGACACACCTCAGATCCATTTTCGATCAGTGGGCATGCTTAAACTTTCAACTAGCGGCTAGTCTTCTGATGTCTTTCAAGTTTGAAACAGAAGATTCTATTTCTCAAAATGTAATTTCACAACTGCATGAGTAAAATTAAGAGATTTAGTTATACCAGAACTTTCTACATCAGTTTCAAACATGTCAGTTAGTAAGAGTATTACTACTTCACCTTCAGATCTTTGGAGAAATTTGGGTGATGAGATCCAGCATGTTTCTTCTTTGCGGTTTTCCTGTATTGAATGACTTTCTGAAGTTCATTCTTCAGTACTGACAAAACACAAAGAGAATCTAAGTGAACACGATTTTTAAATTAAACAGTCTCCGTGATGTCGTGGAGGGTTCTATTTGTGCTTGTGGCAACTGTTTGTAAAACATCATAAAACCATATATTGGATTGAGACTCCAAACTCCCCTGGATGAAAGGGAATTAAAACAAACCCAAATAACTTAAACTACACTTATCTCAGCATATTTAAGAATGGTCTTTGGACCCAGAAATAATATGTTGTCTACTTACCGTCCACTTCTGCGGTCAAGCCTTTGATGGAAGCTTTCCAATGAGAAAATAAAAAGAAAACAACACATATTGAAAAAGCCTGTTTAACTTTGCAAGCCAGAACTCAATTGTATGCAACAGATTTTTTCCCCTTTTTTCAGTTTTGATCAAATCTTAACGAGCAAATACCTCCAGGGACAGTTTCAAATTCTGCCAGCTCCTGGGTAAAAGCGGCCAGGCACGGTTCGTGCAACACGATCTGCTCCACAAGGGCATGGAGCAAGGTGAACTTTCTGTCCTTCCCACGCAGCTGGGAGAGCTGAGAGTATGGAGAGAGCACAGAGTGAAAAGAAGAAGACACGACCATTATTGTAAAGAGAACAAGTGGGACCTGTGGTGTACGTCTACATTCGCGTGTGCAAAAAAGCACCTTATCTGTCATGACAGCCAGAGGCAGAATAGAATGAGAATATAAAAGTAACACTGATACAGTCACTATGACTCCTACTACACTCTCATCATGTTGTGTATTTTAAGAATTAAAAAATACAAGAAAAGAGCATCCAATTGAAATTCTAAGCAAAAGAAAACCCTCTTTGAGACAGTGCCAAAAGAAAATGTCGATGCACTTTAACCCAGCCACAAGTAAAACTGGCTTCTCAATTATTCATTATGAGAAAAAAAAAGGATACCAAATGTGATCTCCTGTGAAAACAGGAAATATACATTTAGTCTGAGGCACAAGTAGTCTCTCCCTTATCAGGATGCCTTCTTGTCAGTCACGTCAGGCTGGCTGAGATTTAATATTGGTTCCTCGCTTTTTCTTTTGGTTTCCCAGAGGGTTGAGCATTACTATTCAGTAAAAAAAAAAAAAAAAAAAAGATGCTGTAGTGAAATTTAAAGGATCATCTGAGTGTTCTCTCTGTGTCAAAGGGTCTGCAGTGGAGCAGAATGTGATAACCCTTCATAATGCAGTGATCTGAACTCTACATTACTTTTCGACATCCTTATAGGAAACTGATATACTCCAGAAGTTTGAAGATCGTTTTCAGCCCTGTGTTAGTAATGTAGCGGAGCTGTAAGCATGATTACACAACATGTTTGACGAGCAAAACAAAAAGCATTATTAGCAGTATTCTTGATCCTTCTACTCAGAATCCATTTATAAAAAAAAAATTAAAAATACCTTTTTTGCTATTTCAAAGATGATCAAAGCCAAAAAATTTGAGAAATTCCTTATCATAAGTGTGTAAATTATCATTTCATTTTTTGATTAACTTCACTTACAGGTTATGACTGATTTAATACCAACTCTAATTTCATGACCAGTAGATAATGTGTTAATTGGCTTGTATGTAATACTTTAGATTTATTCGATGTATTTGTGGAAACTCATCTAATCAGCACCCCTGACTGTTTTTCTAATCATCCCATACTAAATCTTGAAATCTGAACTATATCAAGGAGCTCTTTAATCCCGTAACAGGCCATCAGATTTTTTGGTTACCTTCTTCAGACATGTAAGCCTTTAGGGTTACAAACAGAATGCATATATTTGTTAGTGGTACTTTTGGGGACAAAAGAAACAAACTTGTAAAGGCATTTTTCCTTGAAACCAATAAGTAATTCATTTGAATGGTGTCTGTCTCTAAAAACAGTGGTTTACCCATCTCAGTTAAACCTGGAAACACCTCAGAGGTTCCACAAGGTCTCAGCTTCATTAAAAAGAGCAAAGGATTTCTTACTTCTGTACTCACAACACTGCCCCTTAAACTCTCCCTGTAGACAGGGTTGTACTAACTAAATTCAGAGGTATTCAACTATTGTCTTTCCCCTTAGACAAAAACAGGGCACAAGGAATTTTTGGTAAACAAACTTACTTTCTGACATTTTTTAGGACAGAAAACAAATACTTATTCTCTGTTCCTCTGATAGATGCCCAGATTTTTACATATAGCCAGAAATAATATTAGCATATTAATAATTCTGCAAAATACAGGCACATGATTTCAATCCACTGTGATATGCTTGTCTTTTCCATCTGTGCTGTGACTCAATGGCTGCCATGATTTTGACTTTGAGAGTGCAGCAGTGTTTGCCTTATAGAAAGGAAATAATATAAAGGTGGAAGAGGAGGTGGCCTTCATCTCAAAGAGTGTGAAACATTTTTTATTTTGTTCTCATTTTCATTTAAGTTGTAGTGTGTGGATTGCTGAGAAATGACTGAATATGTTTTTATTACCTCAAAATACACCATTTACATAAGTATTTTTAGCTGAGCATCATTCTATACAGGAAAACAGCCATTTTACTCCCATAAAAGGGAGTAAAAGAAGAGAAATATTGTTCCGACTGGGAAGGAACGGGAGGAAGCAGAAGGATCTATAATTGTTGCTATTATATGATTTGAGAAATGGAGAATCATACATTATAGCAAGAACAGGTAATGGTGCATGAATGAATGAATTAGCCTCCTCAAAGCAGCACAACTGTGAAGCACAAAGCAAAAATTTTGGAAAAAAGCAAAGGCAGAAACCAAGATCAAACATCAGTGTGACTTTTCCAAGATTGAAATCACCAATGACATGCAGAGGTTTTGTTATTCACTCTGAGTAAATCAGGTCTGCTGATCACTATTGATTACAAGGCAGTTAACTTCCTTTGTACTGGTAACTGAAAAAGGCCACATGATGCTTATGATAAATCAAAGATTTCATACTTTTGTGGCTTTACACGTCAAGCCTTATTTAACCAGCTGTCAGAAAATGAGGTTTGGCTGAATTAACCCAAAAAGGTACCTTGTTTTTTTTACACCCAATTTTGCTTCAGGTTGAATAAACACTATCTAACTTTCTGAGTGGCAATCTAAATTTAATAGATAGTTTTGAATGATTTAATTTCAAATAAGGACTTTTAATTAAGGTTAAATAAATAGTTAGTTCAGTAAAATGGCAATGTTTGAGCCACAAATTCAGTACAACCCCATCTTTACCAATTCTGTGAAAATCAGACCAAAATCATCATTCGATTACTTCCAGTGTAAAAATGTATCCGAATTTCTTTAGGCTTATTACGAAAAGTCCCAGCAGACTTTCAAATGTATTAAGAAAGAAAGAAAGGCCACATTTCATGCAGAATTTCCCAGCAGTGCTATATAGTCTCACGTCTGCCTGGATGACTGTGTCGAAGATCCGGGTGAACCCTTGTGACCAAAAGAAAACTGAGAGAAGCGCAGAGGCCCCGCCGTGTATGCCAATGAGTAGTCTTATTAGACTACGGAGGCAAAACTCAATCAGAGGTCAGACAGCCGTCGCGGAATCATACTTTGGTTAGGGAGGAGAGGCGGAATCCCCTGGCCTTTTCCTTTCCGGCATTCTCGTTCAGGTAATTGCCGACGGCGAGCAGGTACTCCAGCACGCAAACAAATGACCTGCAGTTGAACAGCTGCGTGCACATTCTGATCTTCTGGTTAATCAGCTGAAAGACAAACACAAGGAGCTCAGAGCAAAATGCATTTTGTTCTGCAATTCAACTTCACACATGTTCTCTCATTCATTTTCTCACACAACAACTTCGTAAAGCTAGAATATGATGATATGTGGCTGGGATTAGATAGTTGAAATTGTACTTACAGGCAAAGTTGACACACACAACAAGCTTTGATGACTTTATTTTACCTCCAAAAATGAACAATCGGGATCTTCTTGTCATGCATGATTATCATTTGGTGCGCAATTGTGTCAGGAACAAATGTCCTCATAGAATATTAACCAGTTTCCAAGTTTAACCATCTCTGAGCAGATCCTGTTTAATATGGATAGAAATCATGCTGGAAAATAATCAAAGGGGGATTTTATGTTTTGCCAGTTGTGAATAGAGAAAAAAAAGGAGCTGGTGTTAGGGGAATCGTAGTGCTTGGAAAAGCATTATCTTTTCCAAATAAGGTACGTGCCAGCCAGCAACAACAATTCCACCATATGTTCTTGTTTTAAGAATAACCTCCCAAAGCCTAGATGTGGGACAGCCTCAATTTAATTGAGGAGAAACCAAAGATCCAGCTACATCACATGATCTATCTATGCACAGCACTATCCGTAACACCCTGCAAAACTATTGTACTTCACTTAAAACTCTGCCATCCCTTTACAGAACTTGACAAACACACACAGATCTAATTCTATGTCCCTGTGATTCCAGTAGTGATAACACAGGGACACACTTTTAAAAAAGACTTGTACCTACATGAACTCTCTGCTTATAGGCAGAGCATGAGAACTTGTGACAGCAATTTTAGAGCAATGTGACTGTTAGAGTTGTTTATGACGTTATTGAAAAGTTTTTCTTAATTTTTGGGAAATATAATTGTTGTTTTCTCATTTCTTTTCCCCAATATTAGACCATCTACTGAAACACACCAGTGAATGTATAAAGGGGTGACGGTTTGCTGCATTTGGATGTTATTCATCTTTTGGAAATTCCCTTGAAATTTCCATGAATAAAGGTGTGGAAGTTTAAAAACAGCATGTATGATAAAGTATAGATCTTACATGTTTTTAGCTTTGAAAACTAAATTGCTATCTACTAAACATTTAAACTAAGACTTAGTTTGTTCTTAAATATGGATTTGAAATGCACTAAGTTGTTTATTGATCTGTAAAAAGGCAGCTTTACTTGACCACTCTGACCAATAATCCACAGCATAAAATGTGTCGGATACGTCTAATGGTCAATTTGGGATGTATTATTTCTTGTTTAAGTCAATAACTTCATTAGTCTTTGGTTAAGCCCTGCTTTATTCACCCCAGGAGCCATGTTGTGATATATAGAATTGTGATAATGCTGTAATGCAACAACAGAAACACAAATAGTGCAAACCCTTTGTGTTTCAAATTGCACTTGCCTAATTTTAATCATATGGAAAAAGTTCGCAAACTGATGGGAAATCACCGTCTTTTTCTGATTTCCCACACGTCAAATCATTTTCCTCAGGCCATATTTCTACTGTGTGTACTCCCTTTCAAAGTAAACAACAGAAGGAGTAAATGCCAAGATAGAATGTCCCAAATGTGGCTGAAGGAAACGATTCCAACGTAAAGAGAAGTAGATGTGATTTAGAATATAGGGTAATTAATCTGGAGCCGTAGTAGATAACATCAGAGTCAGAAACAGAGTGAAAAGCCTTTCTGTTACTGATACAAGCAACAACTGTTTTGTTTTATCTGATTTTTCACCTTGTCCTAATCTTTCACGGGCTCAGGGTTGCATCCAGAGGCCAAAAGGCCAAACACCACTTCTGGTACTTGAGTTTTTGAGTGAAACTGCAGCTGTAGCAGGTATTCGTTTGCCCCGAACAATGAGCCCAGTCAACACTTTGCACAAGAGAAGGGGAATTAAATGAGGGAAACTTATTGGTTGTTTTGGCAAATCTGTTAACTCCCCCAGCTGCAATAAAGAGCAGCATGCAGCTGCTTGCCTGAGCTTTTCTAATGGAATCATCAATCTCACACAGAACACATGAGAGAATATCAAATGGTGGAAGAAGAGGCTTCCACTAGGTCAGCATCTCACTGCTGCTCATTAGTGATTCATTTTCACATTCATGTTCTCATATTAGGCAATCCATGATTTCAACTTTTTCCCTTTTTTTACCTTTTCTTCTCTAGATAACAACTCTCGGAAAAAAGTATTACATTATCATTTCCCTTGACGATTAAAAGAGTTTTTTTATTTTTGTCTTTTAATTTCAAATCTATTTTCTGAGAGTTCCCGGTCATGAGGAATAATTTAAAACAAATAAAGCAACGTTGTTTCGTGGCAACTGTGAGCTGATAAAGTGTTCTAGATTCAATTTTATTCTGACTTCTATTTAGAAAGAATTTACAAAGGTATGATTAAAGTCACATTTGGCCTTTGAGTGTGTCAGGGCGACATGTGGTGCTTCCCTGTCTATTGCAGGATAAACAGAAACACAGCTTCGTTGACAACATCATATAGAATAGTCTGCACAGCCGACCTCTTGCAGTAGGAGCATGGTGTTAAAACCTGGAAAAACCTAAAAGAACATCAGACGTGTCTCAGAGAAGCTAATGATTCAAAGTCTTCTGTAGTAAGAGGACCCTAAAATCTGAGCTCAATATACAGAGACGCACTGAAAGTTGGAGTGTATGTACCTTTTTTTTTTAGAATATCTGCATTCAGATAACCCTAACTCAAGTTTATAAAAAGGTTCTTTTTTCCATTTAATCTAGGTATGGAAAACATCGAAACTTAATTTTAAAAAGTGTTCCTGTTGAATCATCTCAGCACAAAACGCGTTAGTCTCTACAAGTTAGACAAAGGAACATTGTGTCATAGGCAATGAATTGCAGTGTCATCGCTCTCATCCGTTGTTTCTTTTCATCCTCAAACTGTCAGCAAACAGAGATTATGACTGAAGCAGCGATGCTGAAAGGAGTAGAAGCTGTAGAGCACCGCATGAAAAATAAAAATGCAGCCGTGCAGCTGGGAGGTATTTTTGTCTGACTGCAATATCTTCACAGCCTGCAGTCCCCAGTGCCAATAAACAACAGTCCCCTATAAGCCTGTTGACTATTAGCTTTACTAATGATAAATTTTGAATGTCTCCGTACTCATACGGCACCAACTGAAGCATCATGATGTTTGTGTACAAAGATACTAACAGGACAATATATGTTTAGACTCTTGCTTCTTTCTTTACTTTCCTCTTTTAACTCCAATCATTTAGGATTGCCTTGTCAATTGGGGGAGAGTTTGCAGAAGGAATGGTAAGTCATGAGGGTTTCTCTTTGAGCTGCTTTGGGGAAACTCTAAAGTGGGTTTAAATTGGGTTTATATTTAATAGAAAACTTTTAAACCACCTACAGAACAATTGAATGTGATTTGATTAAGATTCACCTTCCATTCTCTATAAAATGAAGACAAATGTCTCAAAGTGCCTTCCTATTTTCATGAGTATTAACCAGCAAACAGAATACTTCAAGTGCCATTTTAAGCATAAAAAAATGAAACGGTTAGGCAAAAGCTTTCATGTAATAATGTCGGTTTGTCCGGGGATGTTCTTTTTCATCTCCGTATAAAGCCCAGGTGAGTCTGAACATTAACGTTTGCATTATGGAATAAATTAGTGGGATTCATTGTGCGTTGTTGAGGTTACGGTTTTACAAGCTTTTTAGCTTCGGGTAGAAGAACTCAGGGTTTTACTGGACCTTTCATACGACTTGGGTGGGTGATCAGGCAAACTCACAGGCTGCAGGTCGTTCATGCTGACCGGAAGCTCCCTCAGAGTCAAAAGCAGGTCGAGTTGGGTGCTCAGGTGAGGAATGTTGCACATCTGCAGCAGAAAAAAAAGCTAATGAGATGTGTACACACAGCAACTATCACTCCATCACACATCCTGTTCCCATTTGATGAATCACAATTATCGGCAAACTTGTGCTGCTTTGATATAATATTTGATATTATTTGTAGGATACAAATTGAATGATTGCAGCCTTCTTCAGTCAAATGCCGTCTATCAGAATACCGAGTGAAAGTGCAGCAGTTCTGTAGACAGGCCGGTTCAACACAGAAACCGAAGGCTTGACACTTTTAAATGATTGGCTGAGCCTCCAAGTTGCCCTTTGTGTCAGTGCTAACCTCTAATAAATCACCCCTCATTGTAAGACCATTTCGCTCATGCTCAGGTACCATGTCCGCAAAGCCAAAGGCCAGCTAGCCTGACAGATATATCGGAGGAGATATATCGGGATTGGTGCTCGAAATCCGGACCATGTAATTATTTGCGACTTTCCTCTCAGAGTGTGTCATCCTCCACATGCCGAAGCCACGTGTGTGTCTCATGTTGCCACATTCTCTGACACATTTTGCATTTTGAAAAGGAGGTGAACAACTATTCTGTGCCAAGGTAACACCCCCCATGCATTAGAGATGTACTGCTACATCTGTTACCGTTTCAGGCAGTCGAGTCTTGTCTTTTTTTTTACAAGAGAAGAGACACAGACAGACAGGACTGGCTGTCATTGCATCACGTATATCATAAGGAACATTTTATATTTTTTATTTTTTCTACATGGCAGGCTGCTGCTGCATGGGGATAAAAACATAGAAAGTATGATATAGATTATTTTGGTAACAGTATTTAAACATTTGATTATACTTTTGTAAAAACTCACCCTGTTAGGAAAGTAATTACTCTGAAATGTTAGATGACACTATTTCCAACCATAGGCATGCTTAATAAGACTCAAAATGTAGTCTATTGAGCAGCTCATTCAGGATGCATTTAGGGAATGTCTGTTGGATGTCAGTATTTAAATGAACCAATAACATGAAGAGACAAAATACATAAACAAAAATAATAATCATTCAGAGTTTAACCCAGAGTTTAATACAGTGGGACTATTGTGTCATAATCACTACTAGGTAAAAATTTCCATAGTCTCAACCAATTTTCCTTAAATGGTATAGCCAAAATTTGTATAAAAATAGTGGAAATATGAGAGTGTTTCATTTTTTCTATATATTTGGGGTGGTTTCACATTTCCTCGGATGAGTCTCTGCCTCACACAGGCAGATACAGTTGTAATTTCAGGTACATGAAACAGGTAGATAGCCCCAGGGAAGACCCTGAGCAGAGTGGTATAGTTCTAAAACCTTTAAGCCCAGTTTCACTCAGGATTACTGACCTGATGGCTGACTTATTCTTCAGGACCTATAGTTATTATGTTCACATATTTGTCTCTTTATGTAAATAAAAGTTTCACTCCGAAAAAAAGTGTCTCTTTGAATACATGGACAAAAGCAGGGACACTTTTTTACCAACTTTGGATAAATAAGCCATGTTTAACCCTGGCAATTTATTCACTCTTAAAATGTTGTGGTAGCAGTAAACAAACTTTGAACAGCAGGCTGGGGATCTAGAAAGGAAAGCTCACTTGTGTCCACAAAACAGCAGATGTTATAAAAACCAAGTACCCTCTGATATGATATACCTCCTAAATAGCATCCACAAATGGGAACTAAGGGGAACTGTAGAAGTTCTGTCTGAGGTTTTATCTATCTATCTATCTATCTATCTATCTATCTATCTATCTATCTAT